AAGAGAAAGGATTACTCACTGCACCAAAGGACCCACCACTGGGTAAACAGAAAAATCCAGACTGCTTCTAAATGGAGTCAGGGGGTGATCTGTGACAGAGTGGAATGTGGCCAGTTTTGCCCCGGGCGGCTCCTTGCACAGTCTCCTCCTGCCCCCACTCACCTGTGCTCCCAGCCAGGCTCCCCCATGGGCCCCAGAAGCCCCATGGCCAGAGGATGACCAGTGCATCTGAGAAGGTGTGAGCCCAGCTTTGGAGAGAGGCGGGCACAGGTTTAAGTCTGAGGCCTGCTGCCCGTGAGCTCTTCGGCCTTCCCTTCATCTCCAACACGAGGCTGATCGCCGGCCCTGCCTCCCGGAGACCATGCAGGGGCAGAGGGCACGTATGAAGATGCAGCCCAGCACCTGATCTGATGGTGGTATTACTATTATTACTATCAGCTGGGAGACTATGTAGCACAAGGCAGCGTGGATGAGGGAAGAGACACCGCAAAGCCCCTGTTCTTGGTTCTGTGTCCTTCCAGCCTTTGTCCACACGCACACACAACTCAGACATGGGTGTCACCTCCCTTGGGCCAGAATATTGTATCCTACTTTTTTGACAGAATCACCAAAGGCTTTTTTTTCATATTACTACATGTTCCAATTAGAAGGAATTCAGCTGCACGTAAAAGAACACCTGGCTTGCAGCGGCTGGAACAACAAAGACGTTTAATTATTTTGTGTAACAAGTCACCAAGTCATCAACAAAAATGTCCCGAGGCTTTTTCACATCTATATAACTTTTCCAGTCAGCCAGCAATGTGCCAGTGTTCTGTCCTTAAGACTTGTCGCCTCAGGGCTGTTTCAGCTCCACGACCTGCTGGCGGTGGGAAGATGGGGAGGCTCCTGGTCCCCCTTTTTTTCCTTTTTTAAACAATGGAACAAACTCCACCCCAGAGCCCTGACAGACCTCCCCTTATATCTCAGGCACCGGAACTGGGTCACCAGCCCTCTCCTAACCCCATCGTGCCCAGAGGAAATGGGGGGCTTCTGGGGCCTTCCACCTGTCACAGCTCACCCCCTGAGGCAGGGAGGGCCTCAGCCAGAACTACAGTCAGTTGGCAAGAAAAGGGAGGTGGCTGCCTCTTTACAGGATGAGCCCCCTCATGATCAGAGGAAGGAGCTGGGTCCCAGAGTGGTTAAGTCCCTCGTCCAAGGCCACATGCGACTTTGCAGAAGGGCCAGGATGAAAACCCGACCAGCGGCCCAGCAAGCTCCCGTCCCTTGACCACGTGGATTCTCAACCGACTGTGGTCGACTCTAAGCCCCCAAAGGGCAGGAGTCCCATCTCCAGGAGTCGGAGCTTGGCCAGAGGCATGATACGGAGAAAGTCAACACCGTCACAGGAGAAGGCCCCCAACGTGCCCAGATGCGCCTCACCGCCTCCAAGCCCCAGGGCCGAGGGAGCCAAAGAGCTTCCTGCCCCTCGAAAGAGCCTGGCCAGCGAGTCAGCAGGAACCCGGAGCCTGACAAACAGCATCTCTGTAGCTGCCTGGACACCCGCCAGCCTGACTCATTCCCCAGGGCTGACCTCATGTTTCTGAAGAGCCTCAAGACGCCTGAGGTCTGTGTGTTGCCTCTCATGGTTCAGTTCTGCTGCCAGCAAAGGAAACGGCCCGGGCTGGGGGCTGGGGCCCTGCAGAGAGGTGGGAATGCAGAGCCCAAGCAGCCCTCCCCACCACCCACCCTTCCCCTGCCAGAGCCTTCTGCCTGTGCCATGCGGGCCCCCTTCCAGAAGAAACTGAGCAAGACCCTCTAACCTCTGAGATGAGGCCTGTCCCAACATGTCTTCCTGCCTCCACCAATCTGAGGGTGTCCCTTGGAGAAACTTTCACACTCTGGCTATTTCTGTTTCCTTCTAGAATTCTGGAAAGGGAAAAAGGCAGGCAGACTTCATCGAGGTGCTAAGAACATCTCTGAAGTCAGTTCCACCACCTCAAAGGGAGCCGGAGAGCTCAGGGCCAGGCTGAGGCCCGTGCTTAGTGACAAAAGGAACTGTTTATTCAACCCAGAGCTGGATCAGACACCCATTCGGGTCTTTCTATGGTCACTAACAGCAAAGACTCCCAGTGCACCGGGCCACCAGGAACTGGAACACACAAGCCTTCACACACTTGGCCTCCACTTCCAGACATGCTTTCCGGGTCAAACACCTTCTGCGGGCAAGGCCGAGAGCAGACAAGGTGGGCAGCCTGGGGAAACAGCACGTAGCCAGACCCCCAGGACACAAGAGCTCCCTTACACCTCTTTCCAGGGCATCTCCTTAAGATCATCGCCACCCACCCCCCCACTCTGAAGCTCCACATCAAGGCATTTGTTGTTATTCATGTTCACTTAAAAGTTTTTATTCCCCTTGTAAAACCACAAAGGCTAAAAAGTCACATGGGAGAGGGAAGAAGGCCTCATTTATTTGCCATCCTCTCTTTGGCCCGACCAAGGGGGATCAGACACACCAACTGGCAGTTTTAAACTTTCCTTGCAGAAGTTTTTCTCAGAACGGTGGCTCCCACTACTCAGAGCTTGAAAAGTCTGCATACCTTGAAAGTATGCGGGCTGCCGGGCTGCAAGAACAGAGTGGAATTTTCCATTTATAGAATAATAATCTTCATACCACTCTGGGGGCCGGCGTTTTTCGTGGTAAGAGCTCAGAGTTCAGTGTCAGCAAACCTGCCACACTTCTGCAGGGGCCCCACGCCATTTGGGCTCTTTTATTTATTTTTGGTGGGAGAGGGGGAGGAAATAAAGGAATGGCTTTTTAACGTGAGTGCCAACAAAAACTTGAAAAAGGAACTCGGTTGGCAAGTGCAGAAAATTACTGCCTGGTTTCAGGACCTAAATCAACCATTAGGGAGTAGGAAGTGAGGAAGAGACAAAAAAACATTCCTTCAAGCTCTCACGCGGACAGGTGGCCAGAACAGACATCGCGGTACTGCCTCAGGTCCTTCCCCGTGCGGTGCCAGCCTCCTGGCCCCTAGACTGCTCCCTGAGGGCAGGGGCCCAAGCCAAAGGCACACGGCCCAGCTCACTTCTCTTCTTTCCGTTTCCCCTGCTTCTATACTTGATTTCTGCTGATGCATGCACACTCATAGTCTGAAATACCTTCAGGGTCCGTGGCGCAGCAGGAAGGCCAAGCCAGGCATGACTTGGCCTGAGTCCTAATTCTGGCTGTCACATATTCACTGTGTGACCTTAAAGAAATCCTTCTCTTCTCTGGGTCTCGTTTTCTTCATCTGTAAAGTAAGATTGGGTTGAATATCCCAAAGGTCCCTTCCACTGCTGAATTCTGACTCACGCACTCATTCTAATGTTAACTGGGGCGAGTACTAGGTTCCAAACATCCCCAGCTGGGCCACTAACCTGCTGGGCACAGCCAGACCCATGAGCATGGCTGCATGCCTAATGAGCGCTGCCAGCACCAGCCACCCTGTCTCCTCGTTTCAATAGCCACAGCGCGTCCAGAGAGGGGAAGGAGAGCCCTGAGCTGCCCCCTGAAGCCCACCCTGCCTGCCAGCCTAGCCACCAGAGGAGGCATTTTCCCGGTCCTACAGAACCCTACAAGGAACCTTCCCAGTACCCAAAACCTTTCTTAATTTTCATTTTTTTAGAAAAAGTGTTGCTGCTTCTCCTGGGAAGGGCATGACCACCTCACATCCTCCTAATCAAAAATCTTTGTTTTTTCCCATTTTTACAAAAATATTTTATTCATTTAAAAGTATTAAATTGTGATGCTATGTTTTGTTTTTCAAATTGCACATACACCCCAGATTTTAACATAGCCCCCCGGGAGTGAGGAGCTTCACACACACACACACACCCCAATCACTGTCCTAGGGCTGGAAGATTTTCTGGCCCAGCCCCCATCCCTACCTCAGTCACGGGCTAATAGCCACCCAGTCTCTGAACAGCTGTTGGGAAGCTGTGCGTGCCGTGGGGAAGTGCTGTGTCCCTCCACTACTTACTAGAGCGAGAACCAGAATCTCTCTGAACCTCAGAGGTTTGTGCAAGGATTTCACCCAGCTGAAACTCTCCAAAGCACTGTGCAAACGGAAGTTACTTGATTGTTGGGCGGCTCTGACTTGAAAACTGCATCCTTTGATCGCGCCAAGTCCTGCCTCCCCACAGCTTTTCTTGCTGATGCCGGTGAGAAACAGGGAAGAGGTAACGGGGCTTCTCAGAAAGCTGGGAGACGGGTGCGTGCACCCTGGGGCATTCCCCTATCGCCATGCCTGCCCCCGTCCTTGGTGAGTCTCACCACCAGGCCGAGGGAGACCCAGGCCTGGTCACCTGTTCCAAACCCAGGGCACAGCGCTCAGGCGACGACCGGGCACAGCAGCCGCCCCTCCTGGGTCCTCCAGCTTCTACTTTCCCCTCCCCTCCCAGCTGCGCGGACAGGGCACGCCCCTCCCCCGAATTCACCAATCAGCATCCGGAGCGGCGCCCACGGCGCAGGGGGGCCCTGGTCGGCAGCCAATTAGCGCGGGGGCCCGAGGCGGCGCCTCGCCCGCCCCCTCCC